AACTTTTCTATTTTGAAATGTTTTCCTCCTTGTGTCCTACTTCCTGTGTTTGCCTTCCTGTCTTTAGTTTCCCTGGTGTGTCTGATTGTCTGATTGTGTTCACCTGTTGCCCTTGTGTTTCTGCCTCCCCGGCCCAGCTGTGTCTTGTCCTGTGATTACCCTTCTGTGTATTTGGTCTTGTCTTCCCCTGTGCTCCATGTCTGTTCGTCGTTGTTTCTCGTCTATGATTCCTGTTAGTCTCTTTGCTCTTGTCCATCCTACCTGTCACGCTCCATGTTTGTTCCTGAGGTTTTTTGTCCTGATCCTTCCTAGTGCTCCTTGATTTCCTTCCTCGTACTCCCTTGGTATGTTAAGTTGTTCCTTGTTTTCTTTTGTCATTCAGCTTTGGGAAATAAAGCTTGCTTTTTGTTACCTGACCTTTTAGTCCTTTTACTGCATTTGGGTCCTATTTTTCCCCAACCCTGACACCTTGTTGTTCATCACAGAGCACAAGCTGACCTGGGGGGTATACTACGAAGCAGGATTTTCGCTTAGCCGGCTAAATTCAGGGAAAACTCCGGCTTTCCGGTCCTACGAAGCTGGTTCTCTTTTTAGCAGGCTAGATCTCCATGGTAACTTATGCTTAGCGGCTAACCTGGTCGGGAGCAGGTTAGGTTGCAGGCTAAGAGATCAACTCAGTGAAAGCACCGCCTGCTGACCAATCAGAGCTTAGTGTGCGGAGTTTAAAGCGATCAAGTCATATTACAGGAGAAAGGAAATGCAGAAAAGCTGCCGTTGCAGGAAAGACGGCCGGCAAAAATCACCGACTGTGTGAACGTGAACATTAATAGAATATCACCTCCATCTTCAGAGCAATCTGACTATTATAACATTAGCGTTAAGAAAGCTTACTTAAATATCTGCCACAACATAAGTACACTGAGTGCAGACGTCGATGTGTCCCATTATCATTCATATCACTTCATAATGTATCATATATTTTCTTATCTGAGTCAGCTGAGCCGTATCTGGCCGTGCAACACTCACAGTGTCACATACTGTATGCAGAAGTATTATTTTAAGCAACACATTAAGTTGACGAAACACTCGAGACAAATGTAATTAAAGTCAGATCGTGTCTTAGACGGGGCAGTGATATCATAAACCTGTTAATGTCCGCATTCAAACACTTTTTCTTTTGCCAGCTGTGTTCACCTTGCAGGTTCAGCTCTGTGGCTTTGATCCTGGATAAAGTGTTTAAGTCATGGATGTTTAAAGTTTAACTTCTTCATATGTCTAGTATTATAGTTGACTTTTCATTCAGGAAGTATGACGCTGCGCTGTCAGTACGCTTGTCCATGTTTGTGATTGGTCGAATGCTCCAAATACCACCCCTTTCATGTGAACGCGCACCTAACTAGATAGGACACGGCTGGCTTGAGCGATCCACTTGATAACCAGCGTCGTAGTACAGTTTAGCGAGAGCGCGTATGTTTTGGATTAGGCCAACCGGCTAACTCAAACATATCCAGGTTAGGTTGAATCAGCTTCGTAGTACAGGCCTCTGGGGGGTATACTACGAAGCAGGATTTTCGCTTGGCCGGCTAACTTCAGGGAAAACTCGGGGTTTCCAGTCCTACGAAGCTGGTTCTCTTTTTAGCAGGCTAGATCTCCATAGTAACTTATGCTGTGCGGCTAACCTGGTCGGGACCAGGTTAGGTTGCAGGCTAAGAGCTCAACTCAGTGAAAGCACTGCTTGCTGACCAATCAGAGCTCAGTGTGCGGAGTTTAAAGCGATCAAGTCATATTACAGGAGAAAATAAATACAGAAAAACTGCCCGTTGCAGGAAAGACGGCCGGCAAAAATCATCGATTGTGTGAACGTGAACATTAATAGAATATCACCTCCCATCTTCAGAGCAATCTGACTATTATAACATTAGCGTTAAGAAAGCTTAATTAAATATCTGCCACAACATAAGTAACCGGATCAGAGTAACAGTACAGTCCGCAGCATATCATAATGTATCATATATTTTCTTATCTGAGTCAGCTGAGCCGTATCTGGCCGTGCAACACTCACAGTGTCACATACTGTATGCAGAAGTATTATTTTAAGCAACACATTAAGTTGACGAAACACTCGAGTCAAATGTAATTAAAGTCAGATCCAGACGGAGCAGTGATATCATAAACCTGTTAATGTACGCATTCAAACACTTGTATTGCTGTATTCACCTTGCAGGTGCAGCTATGTGGCTTTTATCCTGGATAAAGTGTTTAAGTCATGGATGTTTAAAGTTTAACTTCTTCATATGTCTAATATTATAGTTGACTTATCATTCAGGAAGTATGACGCTGCGCTGTCAGTACGCTTCTCCATGTTTGTGATTGGTCGAATGCTCCAAATACCACCCCTTTCATGTGAACGCGCACCTAACTAGATAGGACACGGCTGGCTTTAGCGATCCACTTGATAACCCGCGTCGTAATACCGTTTAGCGAGAGCGCGTATGTTTTGGATTAGGCCAACCGGCTAACCCCTAGTTTCCACCGGGGATTTTTTACGAACGACGCGACCAACAACCAATCACATGAATGTCCCGCCCCGGACATACAAAGCAAAGCATTCATGCTACATCCATGCTGGCTAAATATACTGTCTATGCTTGCTAGCTGTCCATTCAAACGAAGTACACTGGATATAAACTCTCCAAACAGGCGAAAACCTACCAGTTTCACCCACTGTCTCTGCCACCTCCCCCCATGCCTGGCTCCTCCGGTTTGTATCCCTGTATGTAAAGAGGGACTGGTCATATAGTACCGCCACGATAATTTTCTCCTCCATTTTTTGACATATGGGAAATAACTGCGGTCTGGCTCTCCCAACATACACGCGGTTTGATTGGCTAGCGCTTGTAATGTCAGATTTGCATACGCAGGATTTGATTGGCTGACGCCTCCGTCGAGGCGGCAAAAGTAGAACATTGCTCTACTTTTGCAGCGAGCACCGCGAGAGAAGCTACGCTTTGCTCCCACAATGCAGTTCGGCGAATCGTGACGTCACCCCATTCAAAGTGAATGGGCAGAAGCGTTGAAGCGGCAACGCACGCCGCCGTGTGTAGGCTCCGCTACGTGTCGTTGTGGAGACGATGTAGTGATGTGAAGGGGGGTCTGCAAATTAGTTTATTTGGGGGATGGGCCGGATGCTGTCACCGTTCCACTTCCTGCCCGACATTACCTTAACATTACGTCGCGTAGAAAAATAGACTTCAATCCTATTTTGAGCGGAGCCTAGCGTCGAGACGCTTCTGACCCCCTGATCCCACTGGAAGCGTCTGCGCTGCGGCTGCGCCGCGCTGCGACCTCCTCCTGCGTCCTAACCCACCAGGCGCGTTTCAAAACGTTGCGGAAGCGGAGCGTCGTGTGTGCAGCCTCGCAGTTGTTGGATGAACATTCCACTTCCTGCCTGCGCCGCGTCAAAAATAGGATTCATCCTATATTTTAGAAATTCCTTGCGGCGAGGAGCTTCTGGGACGCTTCGAGCCGCGGCGCAGCGTGTCTGGTGGAATAGCACCCATTGACTAGAGTGGCCGCGATCGCTAAAAACGCCGCAGCCGCAGCGCAGACGCTCCTGGTGGGATTAGGGGGTGAGCCGCAACGCGGCGCGTCTGGTGGAATAGCACCCATTGACTAGAGTGGCCGCGATCCTTGCGGACGCCGCGGTGCAGCTGCAACGCGCCCGTAACGCGCCGCAGACGGACCCGGTGGAAACTAGGGGTAACTCAAACATATCCAGGTTAGGTTGAACCAGCTTCGTAGTACAGGCCCCAGAGATAGTTTATTGTTTGTGGACATCTGTAACTCCTTCTTATTGAGTGCATAGGTCCCGCTGGCGTGCATTCTTTGGCCATGGACGACAGTTTTAGTTCGATTTAGTGCCCTGTTTGTTTAGTCTTGTTGATGAAGAATGTTGATTATACTCTGAACTAGGTAAAACCTCCGACTATGGAAGAGATCTTCAGAACTGGTCGGGCAACCACTGTGTCCGGCCGTAACTTCATAATAAACCATCAGTGTTTGATATCAAGTTCCAGCTCTCCCCGTGTCTCACTAAGTTTCGACTCCATTGCTCCAGAAGTTTCCATTACAATGTTAACACATTATTTTTTTCTTCCATAGTCCATGTAACACACCATGTTTCCTCAGAAATCAGGCCTGCTGTTTCGCTTAGAAATCTGATTCAATGTCACATAAGAGAATAATAAGTCACAAGTGACAGCAGAGGACAATTGAAAGATATCAGATGGAAATAAAATCTGTAAGAAGTGTAGCATTGTTTTTAATAAAAAAGCTCCATGTTTCCCATCTGTGCCAACACAACAACTGTATGCTCAGTAGTTCAAAGCCTTTCTCTGGAATATGGAGCTTGATATGACTTTGTCACGGTGCAGTGTTTCCATCAAGCAAATGGAAATGTTAGGTGCATTTCCATCAAGGGGAGGTGAAAGCAACAGAAAAAGAGACTCCCAGAAAGCCACACACACACACCAAAGGGAACTGTGGAGGACCTGATTAGTGAGTTGTCACTCTCTAATATCAGAAAATGTACCTTTATCCAAAGACAAATAGAAATGCACTTTGTAATATGAGAGTGAGTGGAGGCTTGACATTTGACAAGATTATGTTTCAAAGAGATATATGATGATTGTCTGATGACGATTCTGCACTGACACAGGAGCACGCTCTTCAGACTACCACCATAAATCTTCCTTGAAATGTCTTTCTTTTCTGTAATGTTTGTTACATAATTTGGAGACAAATGATGCAACATGGCATTAACACAATCAATGTATTCTAATATTAGTTAGGAAACAAAAAAAGAAATGTAATCAGCATGGAGAGAGAAAAAGTTCCAGTCAGTCTTCCAAATGATATAGCAGTGAAAATGTAATCAGAAATCCAACAGAGCAGGAATGGAAGTGCATGTGTAGGGATCAAATTAAAGTATCTCTTTCACTCTAGGCCAGTAAATCATACCTGATGCTCTCTAGTTTCAGGAACTGCATGTCTCGAGACATGCCGCATAATCTTTTTCCTTTTGACACTGACAAAAGTGGATCTGATAACAAATATAAAACACAACTGCTGACAAACAGATGGAAAATATGAGTGGGCTGATTTTTGGTTATACGAGTGAATATTTCAAAATGATATTCCCAACAGATGTTAAAATTGCATTTAGATCTGAAGGATGGTTTTATTTCCACAAACAAGCTACTCAGTCTGTGCCATTTGGAATGTAATGTAATTGTGTATATGTGTGTAAATGCCTTTTTAATAATGTATTTATGCTGTATTTGTTCTTAAATGTCTTTTGCTTTTAATCTGTAAAGCACTTTGAATCGCCACGTGCTGAAAAGTGCTATATAAATAAAATTGCCTTGCCTTGCCCCTATTCACTTGATCCTTAACAGACTGGTGTGTCTCACTAAACAACCCTAAATCCTTACCTGTGTAAACCTTTGTGGGACTAAAACAAGTCTATTCACTTCCCTTTCTTGAGGATGTCAAGTGTTTCTTTTAAAATTTGTCAAATAATTACAATTCTAACTTTGGAGTCTCTTTCTGTGGGACAGATAGTCTTGTCTCCCCAGCATCTGCTCCAAAACACAGCCATATGGATCCTCATTGATTCATGGAACAAAGACAAACACCTCCTCTGTATAGGCCTCCTTACAGAATTGATTTGAAGATGCTTTTGTTTATAAACGGTATTGACAATCCCCACCGTTATTCCACCTCCAAGTGTTAGAAACTCTGCCAGTAACTGCAGTTCATGTTTTCTCACGCTTTGAGACTCACGATTACATTTACTATAACGTTTATTTTCAATTGTATTTAAGCTTGTCTGTCCAGCATTTTGGTCAACATTATCTGTTTCTAATTGGGTTTTTTAAGAATAATTTGAGTGGTCAAGCGGGTTTCACATCTCATTTTCCCATATCATTTGAAATAAACTGGATACTTCATCAAGGGAACATTTCTGTCAGAGAAATTCAATTATGTGGTCTATTTCCCATCTTTTCCTGAGGGATTTTGACATCCTTACTGAACAATGGCACCCTTTTGTCAAAGGGAAATCTTTCTTCTCTCAAAGGCACATCATGAATTAGCTGAGAGTGACACCATCCTGCAGAGTGACTGTAAAGTGACTGCTGGTTGAAGCTGTGCAGGTCAGAGAACATCAGTGCGCTGTATTCACCTATTTGTAAACTATTTGGCAATCAGCTTGCCATTGTGTTGTTTATCTGTAAAGACCATTACACTGGTAACATCGCATGAATGGAATCTTTTTCATAATGCACAAGATGACAAGTGTATGTAGCATTGTGGTGCAGTGGTGTATGACATGTCACTTTTTAACTAGGACACTCAATGTACACTGTATAATGTATACAATGTATACTGAAGCCGGTCTTCAGTTTCTGCATGGCCATTGATAAAACGTGTCGGTTGACACCTTGGCCGACTGCTGCATCCCCTTGAAAAGACGACCTCATTTAGAAAAGTACAACCAACAAGATGATATTCAACATACACTTACCAAGAGACAACATGAATCCTCCTTCAAGCTTTCAATACAATAAATGTAATTAGTTCTTTCTTCCCTGGTCTAAGGGACATGAACTTAATCCTCAACATGCAAGTAAAAACAAACAAAAAGGAAAAATTCGTCCCAGATGACAACCTATAATGAAACATGAGAAGTTACACTATTTATTAATACCTCTCAGCCTGCACTTCAATGGAGCTGCCCAGTTAACATTGTTCATTTTAAAGAATGAAATCAATGAACTGTCCGTTTCTTCTTCTGCGTCAAACAAGTCAATTGATAGAAAGAGGCGTGGACATTCATAGTTACGTTCCTGCAGTTCCTCTCTGAACAACTGACATGCCTTCCGGGGGTCCACTTCATTGGCCCGTGCTGAAAATGTAATTTGAAGGAAAAAAAAGTGGTTGGTACAATAAACTTCATAATATGTCAGCTTCAATTCTAAAATAGTACTTCATTTATTGTCTCATTTAGTAAGCCCTGTATTTTAAAGCAATATATTAAAAGGTAGTAACTTCAAATCAATTATCCTTTCCATATTACTGGATCAAACATGTAACAACATTCATTTTGGTGATCATTGCTATTTAAGTGTTTGTGAGTAGTCACTGTTTCAAACTACACCACAGCAGTAATTGTTCTGAATAAATAACCTGCTGAAACTGTTGCTGGCAATCGTTGAACTGAAGGTCCTGGCATTTCCTCTGTCCTTGTCATACTGGCTGCATCGCTATGATGAGCAGGGTCCATTCTTGGAAAACAAAAAACATACTCACAGGAATGGAAAATAGAGACTAGTGAGTGCCCTTATTTTTTTACATATTTCTTTTTGCATATCAAACAAAGTCATTTAAATCAGATCCCTAATAAGTATTTCGGCTCTGTTATGATTTCTACATCTACATTTCCTAAAAATGCATCACATGCTCTGATGCAGCTGCTATAGCTGTAACATTACAGCATTTTAAAACACAAAAAAGGAACAAGCACATTCACCAAACAATATCGTTATTAGGTTTGACACTTTGTATATGTTGTTCACCTCTCTCAAAACATGTCTATCTTCCATCTTTTGCTTGAACAAGTCAAAACGTCTTACCCTTCACCACATGTGCTTGCATGAAATGAGAGGACATCAATCGGGTAAGATTCAAGACATATAGGGCAAACCTGTAAAAAACAAACAAATGTCAATACCTTTAAAACATATCACATTATTATAAGAAAGGTTTTATGTTTAATAATTCTCTCTCAGATAAGTGATACAGGAAACATAATTCTATGATAAATGAGTACATAGACAGTGTGCAAAAAGTCTGTTTGGTGAAATGTGTTATACCCTACCTATATACACACCTGCAATCATGCTGTCATTATTTACTGAACACAATAAGGCTTTTATACTAAATTGCAAAGTAACTTTAACAGGAGAAGACCGCATCAACTACCTTTGACAATTCTCCCATCCCTGTGTTAGGTGGATTTGGCTGCTCAATCACTTCATCAAGAGAAGTCCCAGATTCACTCTCCTAAAAACAAAAAAGGTACAGAGAATTGGTTCTATAGACTTTGAAACAGTCATTTGAGCAAACTAAAACATTACATATTTATTTGAGAAATTAGAGAAATGTTTTAATAACAGCGTACAGTCAATATGTCATTACATTCCTCCACATGTAAAGGCAACAGCTGCAAAGGCATTTGACTGCCACATGTTATGCAGGTTGACGGTGGCATCTTTGCAAACTCTGCCGAGTCATAGGGTAGTGGTTCGGTAGAAAGTTGCTCCTGTAGTGGAATTACAAACACAATGTTTTTTCCGTTGTTGGACGCTGTTTTGAGGAGCCTTGTGGAGTACCCCTCGGAGTCAGTAGGAATTATGGACAGCTTTCGACGTCCACTACCACCTATTTTAAAATCAAAATAGGAACAACACAAGTGTGCTTTAAAACCACCTGACATTACATACATTAATATTAGGGATATACGTTACACTTTGTCAGGCAAACTTTAGTAGTTTTATATAACTTGAAGAAGTGATATGAATGGTAATTCAAAGTAGGGCGACAGAAAACACATATGTGGGGCTTCTGAGTGTGAAAAACACAACACAGCATTTTCACCAATGGAGATGAGAACAATATTACCTGCTGACTTGAAAAACATCCAGCCTCCTTTTAATGTTTTCAGTTTTGGAAATTCTTCCTCAACCGAAGCCATAGTCTTTAAAACAAAGTGAAATAACATACAATATTCAGCAAGTGATTCACATTTTAAATCATTGAGAAATATTTAATACTGTTTATATGATTACCTCACTGTGCAATAAGTTGTCCGGTAGATTTTGCATCCTCTTTCCAAGGCCAGCATGGGCAAGTGGTAGCTCTTCCGAGCCCTTAGGTGTAAATTGACTGGGTCCCGAAAGGACATATATGTGAAAGTCCGTCCGTTTGACGATGCAAGGAGCCGGGGTGGGAAATCGTCTTTTGCCTCTTGGCTGATCAGTACTGAACATACTTGGGAATTGCCTGATGTGGGAATGACAAAAGGATCTGTGAGACTAGACATTGTTATATCATTTCCAAATCATTGGCTTGCGTTGATGGTTTTGTTAACATAGTTTGAACAAATTGTATGAATAAAAAGTGAAATCATAGTTATACAAAAACAATCTTGACACTTAGCTTTATCTTACCAAAATATTTGTTTTGAAAACATTAATATATTGTGTTTGGGACGTTTCAAGGCAAGGGGCTGCTAAAGGTTTTAAAAGCAGTAATGGGGATATAGAGGATACATACTATGGACAAATGTTTTAAAACATTAACTCAACATTACATTAGAGTAATGCGAGGGCTGAGATCAAATATCAGATGTTTACACATCTACGGGATTAAGCCACAGTTTGATCTTGAACTGTCAAATGTAAAAAAAAAGTCTATTAAAATCACCTTCTCATTGCCTGCCTCACCCTGACATCATTGTGGGATTGGACGCTGTCTACCGCCCTGACTGCTACGCTGACCGGTGCACTCTCTGCTATGCTCACTTCTGGTGGAGTTGGAGTCGCAGACAGCTCCCTGGCTATTCATTGAACTAAAGCCCGTGCTGCTACCTCGACCAGAGGCGTTACACCCTGTCGAACAGTCAATTAATTTTCTCTCACATTCACTTCAACATTTTACTTGGTAGCAGAAGCACCTAATAAGAATGGGGGATCGTTAGATCGTTAGACAGACAACGCTAGCTAATGTTAGCTTAGAAGACTGAAGGGTCCTTTGCCTTGTTTAAAATCTCTGCTTGGGTTCAGCCTCTGGGAAATAATTAGCTTATGTACATGTCATGTGCTAGAGTATTATTAAACTATTACATTATTAAACCCACTGAGATAACTTAGGCTACAGTTTACAATCGAATCACTCAAGAGTCCTTTACCTCCCTGAGCTGACGTTATCTCTCTCAGTCCCACAGGAGAGGACTCTCCCTCTCCTTATTGTTGAAACAGCTAATCTCCGTTAGCTCCGAGCTAGCACCAGATGCTAACAACAACCCTGTAACTCTCTCAGTCTCTCTTGCTCTCTCTCGAATCGACCAGTGGCCTTTATTTGTCATGAACAATCAACGAATCTACGAAACAATGACACCAGCCAGGCTCACCTTCATCTTTTGGGAACAGAAACATCGCCACTTCGGCAGACTTGACATTAATACAGCCAGCGGCAATGCATCGCTTCCCGTGTGTTTTTCCTCCCTTTTTCTTCACTGTCGCCTCCATTGTCAGGTTTTCTCGATTGGCAATCACTTGCAGTCGACTCCGACACACTTTCCAGTAAAAATACTCGCTCAAAAACTTTGAAACAGAGAAACAATAAACTGTGATGAATGTAAACACTTCGGCGGCTACCATCTCGTGACGTCACGCAGTAGATCGCAAGCCACGCCCACGCAGGGGGCAACTGCGGATTTCCCTGCGGCAAATTCAAAACTCGTCAAATTCGTTGCTATTCCAACATCTTTTGATATGGGTTCCAATGGACAATTTTGGTAATTACTATACGTATTAGCATAACATATCATGCACAGGCGCACACTTCACGGGGTCTTTAAGTAGGCTACTGTTAATATCTTCACAGACAATTCAGAGGTTTTTCATTTCAATGCTCTTTTAGCTGACATTTAATAAATGCAGGCACATTTTTAGCAGCTATTCATACTAAATCAGTTGTCCCTCCCCCTGGTGCCAGTCCCAACAGATCCATCTCTAGGCTCAGCAGCCCTGCTGAAAATAATAATACCGATAATAATGCTGAACCTGAACCAGCTTTTCTCCCAACTGAAGGAGGTGAGCAGCATTGTGTTGAATGACATGCCACTTAACATATCTGAAGGGAGACTGGAATACAACATATATATATATCAAAACAAAAAGCTAACATCTAATTTCAATTATTCATTTCAAACACAGTATTTTCCCACATAGCCAATGATCTATATAAAACAAAAAACTGCTTTTAGTCAATTTAGGATGTTTGAAGCATTGAGTGATCAGTCTGTATTAGGTAAACAAAATGTTAATCACCGACATTTTGGCTATGATATTAATACTAATATTATTATATTAAAGAATATATTATCATTAGGGCCGGGACTTTAACGCGTTAATTAAGATTAATTAATTACACAAAAATTAACGCGTTAAAAAAATTAACGCATTTTAATCGCACTTATTTTTGCACCGCGGAACGTTTCTCACTGGATGAGTTTCAGGCGTACCGATTATACTGGAGCACCAACTAACGTTCATGACTTCAGACAACAACAAACCACAGTGAACAACAGTGGGAAATGTTGTTTTAAAAAACGGACGGATGGAAGTGTCGTTAAGAGCACGGTTGTGTGCAAATTATGCAAAAAGGAATTCGCATATCACCGCAGCACATCAAGCCTCAAGTATCACCTCAATGCAAAACATATAGCAGCTAGCGTGGAAGTTAGCCTGGACGTTAGCCTCTTTTATCGCGTTCACACCAAAAAGAGCCGGTACTAAAATTAGTTCATGAGAACCTTTTTATCCCCACGAAAGTCCCTGCTAGAGAGCAGAGAGCTGCTAGAGAGCAGGGACTTTCCTACGGCTCTCTTGTGAGAAAAGAGCTATATTTCTGATTGGCTGGGCGGATTGCAAACCACGCCCCGTAAAACTCCCAAAAAGTTTTGTGAATTTTATTATCCTCGTATTAGCATTAGCATTATTAGCATTAGCCCAGCCTAGAAACGCAGAGAGACTAATTTATGGCAACACAAAATAAAACATGGGAGCGGTGGAGATGAGGAGGTGTCGGCGTTCTGGCGATTTACTCGGAAGGCTGCAGGGACTCCCAGCAGCTTCTACTGAAGCAGAAGAAGAAGAAGTGACGTCAGCGGCTTCATTTGCCTAATCCTCCCCCAGGTTCAAAGAGTTCTCATGAACTAAATTCTCATGAACCTTTGTGGGAAAAGTACTGCGGTGTGAATGCGCCTAATGGTATACTAAAATCCATGCGAAAAAAATTGCTTCTCACTGTTCTTAGGTCAAATATTTATATGTGATTAAAAATGCGATTAATTTCGATTAATTAATTACAAAGCCTCTAATTAATTAGATTAATTTTTTTAATCGAGTCCCGGCCCTAATTATCATATGTGTCATGTACACTCTACAGAGCCAGGGCCCTCTTCAGTTTTGTCAGGAAGGTGTGTGGAAGAGGTGAAGGACAGTGCCAGTGGCAGTACCAGTGTAGATGATGAGGATGAAGGCTCCAGTGAAGACAAGAGAAGGTGCACAGAAAGGGACAGACAAAGTGAGGAAAAGGACAGACAAAATGAGGAAGCTGTAAATGACAAGTTATGCACCATAGATTCTGAGGAAGAAAATCTTCTGTCAAATGACCCAGCTTTGTGGCCAGCAAATATGACTAATATGGACAGGGAGTCTATAGTTAGGAAATTGGCCACAACAAGAGATGAAGACCAACACATGCTACAGGATTCTGAAGGAAAGCCATTCCCAGAATACTTGCAGTATACTAAGGCAGCAAATGGAAGAGAAAAGGTGAAGAGAGACTGGGTGATTCACAGCAAAAGCACTAATGCACTATATTGCATCCCATGTGTGCTTTTCTCCCATGAACAAAAAAGACCTTCCCTTAGTGTACTGAACAGTCAACATGGATATAAATTGTCTGATGTGAAGTGGCGTCGTATGATAAGTTCCCGGCCCATGAGAAGAATAAGGCACACAGAGACTGCTAGTGGAAGAATTTGCATCAATCTGTAATGGAAGTTAGCGGCATTGACTGTCAATTGCAGAAGCAGATACAAATAGAAACTGAGAAAAATAGAGCTCTCTTGAATAGAATCCAGATGTAACACTGCACTTGGCATCAAGGAATTTACTTTTCAGGGGTAAAACCAAAGATCTGAATGACATTCACAATGGCAATTTCCTAGGCACACTGGAGCTGTTATCTCATTACGACCCACTGTTGAATGAACACTTACAAAAAGTTAAGGACAAAAAGAAAGGAACCATGCTGACACATTATTTGAGCTCTGACATTCAAAAGGAATTCATTGAGTTATGTGGCAGAAGAATTTTGAAAACAATTCTAAAGGAAAGGGAGGATTCTATTTATTATTCAGTCATCTGTGATGCTACACCAGACATTTCACATACTGAGCAGAATGTTGTGCTCATGAGATATGTGAATTATAACAAAGAAACTGATGACTGGGAGATCACTGAACGGTTCCTTGAATTCAAGGACTTCCACAAAAAGACAGGGAGTGAAATAGCCGAGATGATTTAAAATGTGCTTCAAGACAAAGGGATAGAGATAGATATGGCAGATTGCAGAGGGCAGGGATATGACAATGGGGCAAACATGTCAGGAAAAGTCAAGGGAGTTCAAACCCAAATACTGAAAAAATATATAATCTGGCTACATGTTCACCTTGTGCCTAAATCTTGTAGGTGTGCATGCTGCAGAATCAAGCACAGAAGTGTCAAAAAAATTTGGCTGCATCAATCGCCTTTACACACTTGTTAGTGCCAGTCCAGCGCGATGGGCCATCTACTTTGTTCTTTGCATTGCCTCTCCGATACCCGCTGGAGTTCAAGGATCCACGCTGTTAAACCTGTAGCAAGACACCTACCTGATGTCATAGAGGCCCTTGATGGCATACTCATGACATGCAGTCTCACCAGTGAGGCCAGATCAGATGCTAGTGGGCTGAAGACCTACTTCATGTCATTCAATGCTATTGTCCTCCTCACTGTCTGGCTAAAAGTACTGCAATGCATTGAGGACAGGAATACAATTCTCCAGTCTGAGAAGATTTCACTCGACACAGAGACAGCCAATATCAGAGACTTAAAGCAGTGCTTCTCAAAGTGTGGTCCGCGGACCACTGGTGGTCCGTGAGCGCCCCCTAGTGGTCCGTGAGTATATTGGTAACATTTCACATTTGAAAGAAATACATTTATTTAAGTTTTTCGCACTCTCGCGGGAATATCTCCCCAATAGAACGAGCTTAAGTTTCACTTTCGATTGCATGATATAGCCCAGATAAACACCTTCATCACACATGTTGCCACTTGTTTGTACCATTTTCAGGCGATTTGTAAAAAACGATGTGTTTTTGGATATTTGTGGAGTTAGGTGGTCCGCGAGTGTTTTTTTATTGGTTAGGTGGTCCTTGGTGTTGTGGAATATTTTCCAAGGCCCATAACTTTGACCCAGTGTATCAGTTCAAACTGTCCTGACTGAGCACAGGCACCTGTAACCTTGGCTGCTGTGCTCTCAGTGTTTTGTCTCCCTGTTCCTGCCTGTTGGTGTCAGCTGATAGAGGTGTTATCATTCTATCTTGTTATGCAGCATGTTGATGATGCTCTCTGAACTAGCTAAATACATGGGTCTGGGGTAGAGTTCTTCAGAATTGACGTGGCAACTCTACCGTGAAGTCAGAACCTCTGACTCTTGGACTTGTGATGTGAATCCTCCGGCCGTAACTCCAAATAAACCATCATG